GTTGTTAGACCGAGAGGCGGAGCGCAATTGCAAAATCAATATTTCCCTACCAAAATTTACTATCCTAAACATGTTTTAAGTTCTTGTTGTGAAAAGATGAGCACATATTAATATACAAAAAAATATATAAGCCCCGCCCACCCACCCCATCTCGATTGTGATGAATTTTTCTTATTTGTCGTTAGCCAAAGGGGCGAAACTTAATTGCAAACTCTTTGTTTCTCTACAAGAAATTACCATGTGAAACATGTTTTATTGTTGTTGACATAGTAGGGGAGAGTGGGTTTCCTTTTTTCAAAATAGTCTATTTTTAACAATATGATAAAATTAAAACACGTTTTGGTGAAAAATTTATCTTTGCTTTTTTTTCTTAATATATACAGGTTTATTTCAACACTATACTTAAAACATATTTCAGATGGTAATTTCTTCTAGAGAAATAAGTATTTTGCAGTTAAACTCCGCCCTTCGGCTCACGACGAATAAAAGAATTATCACAATTGAGACGTGGGCGGGTGGGCGGGGTTTGTATTTCACCTTGTTTATTCTTAATATGTATGTAGTTTTCTTTTCACGACAAGAAACTGAAAACAGGTTTAAAAGGGTAAAAGGCTAAACATATTTTTAGTTTCTTGGCGTGAAGAGAAAACTATCTAATATTAAAAAGAAAAAAAAAATGAAAAACTTAAGGCCCGCCCACCCACCCTGTCTCAATTGTGACGATTTTTCTTTGTTCGTCGTGAGCCGGAGGGGCGGAGCTTAACTGCAAAATCTCTATTTTTCTACAAGAATTACTATGTGAAAGATGTTCTTCAGTGATCGTGTTGCTGAAAGAAAACTACATATATTAAGCAAAAGAAAAGCTCCACCCATTCGTCTGAATCTCAGTGGTGATTCGTTGTTATACCGGGAGGCGGAGCGCAATTGCAAAATCAATATTTCCCTACAAAAATGTACTATTTTAAACATGTTTTAAGTTCTTGTTGTGAAAAGATGAGTACGTATTAATATACAAAAAAAATATAAGCCCCGCCCACCCACCCCACCTCAAATGTGATGATTTTTCTTATTTGTCGTTAGCCAAATGGGCGAAATTGAATAGCAAACTCTTTGTTTCTCTACAAGAAATTACCATGTGAAACATGCTTTGTTGTTGTTGACATAGTAGGGGAGAGTGGGTTACACAGTTTCCTTTTTTCAAAATGGTCTATTTTTAACAATATGATAAAACTTAAAACACGTTTTGGTGAAAAATTTATCTTGTTTTTTTTTTTCTTAAAATATACAGGTTTATTTCAACATCATACTTAAAACATATTTCAAATGTTAAATTCTTGTAGAAAAATAACTATTTTGCAGTTAAACTCCGCCCTTCGGCTCACGACGAATAAAAGAATTATCACAATTGGGACGTGGGCGGGTGGGCGGGGTTTGTGTTTCATTTTTTTTTTTTCTTAATATGTAGTAGTTTTCTTTTCACGACAAGAAACTGAAAGTAGGTTTAAAAGGGTAAAAGGCTAAACATATTTTTGGTTTCTTGGCGTACAGAGAAGACTATGTATATTAAAAAGAAAAACAAATGAAAAACTTAAGCCCCGCCCACCCACCCTGTCTCAATTGTGACGATTTTTCTTTGTACGTCGTGGGCCGGAGGGGCGGAGCTTAACTGCAAAATCTGTATTTTTCTACAAGAACTACCATGTGAAATATAGTCTTCAGTGATCGTATTGCTCAAAGAAAACTACATATATTAAGTAAAAAAAAGCCCCACCCATTCGTTTGGGTCTCAATGGTGATGAATTTTCCATTCGTTGTCAAACCGAGAGGCGGAGCGCAGTTGCAAAATCAATATTTTCCTACAAAAATTTACTATTTGAAACAAGTTTTAAGTTCTTGTTGTGAAAAAATGAGTACGTATTAATATACAAAAAAATATAAGCCCCGCCCACCCACCCCACCTCAATTGTGATGATTTTTCTTATTTGTCGTTAGCCAAAAGGGCGAAGCTTAATTGCAAACTCTTTGCTTCTGTACTATAAATTACCATGTGCAACGTGTTTTGTTGTTGTTGACATAGTAGGGGAGAGTGGGTTACACAGTTTCCTTTTTTTCAAAATGGTCTATTTTTAACAATATGATAAAACTTAAAACATGTTTTGATGAAAAATTTATCTTTGCTTTTTTTTTCTTAATACAGCCTGTTATTGAAAGATACGTACAAAATAAAATCGGCAATTGGTCTCGAAGTATGGGTGCTAAAAGTTAAAAAAAGTTCAGGTAAAAGTGTTCTCCTTTTAGAGATAAAAAATATTAAAATTTCTGTCCAAATTCGTTGTACGCCTCTGATAAAAAGATCATCTTTCGTTTCTATAGCAACATTTAGTCTTGACAAAAGTTACAGTTGCTAGGATTTACTAAAATAAATTAATTTTACCTATTTATCCTTCAGTAGCGTCTAAAAAAGTTGGATAAGGGTTAATTTTCCCCTTATAATTTTGATATTTTGACACAAAATACATTTTTCCGACTTCTTAGACTTCTCGAAGAACTGTCCATTTTATTGTACGTACCTTTCAATAACACCCTGTATATACAGGTTTATTTCAACGCCATACTTAAAACATGTTTCAGATGGTAATTTCTTATAGAGAAATAACTATTTTGCAGCTAAACTCCGCCCTTTAGCTCACAACGAATAAAAGAGTTATCACAATTGAGACGAGGGCGGGTGGGCGGGGTTTGTATTTCACCTTTTTTTTTCTTAATATGTATGTAGTTTTCTTTTGACGACAAGAAACTGAAAACAGGTAAAAAACGCTAAAAGGTTAAACATATTTTTAGTTTCTTGGCGTGAAGAGAAGACTGTGTATATTAAAAAGAAAAAAAAATGAAAAACTTAAGCCCCGCCCACCCACCCTGTCTCAATTGTGACGTTTTTTCTTGTTCGTCGTAAGCCGGAGGGGCGGAGCTTAACTGCAAAATTTGTATTTTTTTACAAGAATTACCGTGTGAAATATGGTCTTCAGTGATCATGTTGCTCAAAGAAAACTACATATATTAAGTAAAAAAAAAAAAAAAACAAAAGATAAGTCCCACCCATTCGCCAATGAGAGTTTTATTTTTTATATTTTCAGTTACCTTTAGTTGAAATACATATAAGTGGAATTAGACAAATATACAAGTTTCGTATTTTTGGACACATAAACATTTGAAAATTTTCGCAGAATTTGTCAATTTTTCAAACGTAAAATTTTTCAGTAGTCCCTCTCCAATGAAAATTTCGCCAATCCCAAATCTATACTGAGAGCATAAACAAGCTGTTTTTGAATCGGCATGACGAAATCTATATCCCAGAATTTTTTGGGACTTCTTAGGAAACTTTTCCAAAAAACTCAATTTTTCAATACTCTTCCGAAATTTTTGACTTTTTATTAACCACCTTCGAAAATTATCTAAGGGTTTTTTTTATAAATTTCGACCGCTGGAAGTTATTTTTGGTTTCATTTCTGTTTTTCCAAAATCGCCATATGAAATATAGCAATTTCCAGAATTTTTCAAAATTTGGATTTCAATCGAATATTTTGAAAACTTTGCTCCTGGACAACAAACACGCTATATTTTTCGAATTAGTACGTTGAAATCTACATCCTAGAATTTGTCAGTGATCTCAATACTCTAATGAAATTTTTGATATTTTTTTAAATACTTTCGAAAAATATCTAAAAACATTTTTGTAGATTTTGGCTTCCAGTAGTTGTTTTCAGTTTCATTTCTTATAAAATTTCTATAATTTTCCCAGAATCGCCAGTATGAAATTAGTCAAAATTTCCAATTTCTGAAAAAAATTTGGATTTCAAACCGATTATTTGGAAAATCATGGTTTTTCGGTTTAGTTCGTTGAGATTTATAACCCAGATTTTTCTGAATTTTCAGGAATTTTTCCAAAAAGCTCAATTTTTCAACATGAAAATTTTGACCTGAGGGAAATTGTGTCTAAGTAGCTTTCGACCAATTTTTTTGGCTTCAATTTGTTAAGTTAGTGTGACAATACGAAAAATATTCCATTAATCTGAACATTACGTAACTTAATGGACGGCCAACTACTAAAACTTAATTACCAATAATTGCCAAATTACCATAAAAGCTTCTAAAACCTGTAAAGAGCGTCAATTTTTTTCAAAACCTCTCAATTCGTCATCTGTTGCCCGCCAAGAAATAATTTGCTGCCTCAGCTCACGCCAATTACCCAAAACCGAGCCTTTTCCAGCTGGCATCACCTTCAATAACTAAACTCGCATTCTTGCAAACTTCGCCTACGACCATAAAACCCGTGAAAAAAGTGTGCGTTGACCCTCCTTATTAAACTCCGGCTCTCCGATTTACCACAACCGTCAAGAATGGGATTTTAATACGACAGCATGAAAGATTTTTTCCGTCACACTATTAGCTCGATTATTGCTTAATATTTCTGCACCACCGTGACTTAGCCCGTTTTACTTTCAACACAAACGATGAAGACGTTTGGAATTAGTTGGAGCGTCTGGACTTTGCTGGTAATGGAAATTTCTTGTTTCGGAAAGCGATGAAGTCACCGTTACCTGAATTTGCTTAACCCAAAATCGAGCGCGATCGACATCTTTCACGTAACTTTTATTCATGAGGTAACTGTAAACAATGTGGTACATAAATCCGAGATGAATCACTGATGTAATCACCGGCCAAAAAAGAGGAACGATGTCAATGGGGCAGATTAAGCCGGGAAGTGTGTTTGCGTTCGCAAATTTTTTACAGCTAAACAAACAGCGGTACTGTTAGGCGATCTTTTCCCATACCGTGGACAGGTACAAGATAATGACAGCTTGTTCACTTGTAGAACAACCATTAGGAGATATGCGTTCCGGTTTCGGGCTCAAACCGACAAGTTTTTTCATTGATACTTTTTGATAACATTGATAAGAAAATTGTCTTTAAACACTCGGAATTAAATTAAGTGCACCTACCTTGATTAATCCCGCAATCGAATGTCCAAACTTAGCAGCCGTTGAACTCACTACACACAGCACAGCACCGTTTCGTAACAGTTCCTCAAGTTCACTGCTGAGTCTCGCGCTCTTGCAGGCCTTCCGCGTCTTACACGAAATGAGTTCACCTTACAGGTGTCTTGTCTTATAGTTGCCGCTGTGGCGGTTATGCAAGGATGGCCATTGGTTAAGAGCAGGATGGCTCTTCTGCTATTGGCTGCAACCTTGCTTTTTGCACGCTTACTGACTCGCTTTAACAGTTAGGTCCAGTGGATGATGCAGTCGACGTCCACTTGGACTGTTATTTTCGTGCTATTTTCGCCAAAAACAAAATCGTACTTGAGCTTGGCCTCGATGGAGAGGTTCAAGTTGAAATAACTGCCGGTTTCGGATGAGTGTTTGAGGTTCGGATTGTCACTTGACCGAGAAAAATTTGAGAGGTTAGGGCGGACGAAGGTGACGAGGATGAAGCTTTCTATTACAATTTTTTACTTTTAAATGAGTTTTTTAATATTTCATTTACGATATGTGCATCAATATTCGTTTTTCTTATTTTGTTTCATAATATTTTTCCGACTAATGTCGCGAACACTGCATTAAAACGCTAGGTATAAATTTTTAACCTCTTTAGACAGTGTAATTTAATAAAAACTTCTCTAATCTGTATTTTTTTTACTGTTATCATTTTCTGGTTTTTTGAAAACGTCGCTATTCATATTTTTCTGCACTGCTTGTACCATTAAAATTTCTTTTTGACTTTTGAAATTCCATGTCAGATCTTTCAAATTTTCTTATCGTTTTTTAAAATTTAATTTCCAACATGTGCATGAACATTTTTCTATTGATATCACATAATGTAGAGTATTCCGTTGGTATTAGTCTTCTTTGATTTTCATTTGTCAATAGCGTCCTGTACTACTTTATTTCTTTGTCGACCTCTTCTTCTTGTTGCCTTGTTTTGCCTTTTTCTTTACATATTTCATAGCTGATTTTCCAAGTAGAAAAATGAAAGACAACATCCTGTCAAAAAATGACGATAAGATGTTTTCAGAACGATCTTTCAAATTCCATTATCATTTATTTTTCCTTCAGGTTCTAACATGTGCATGAATATTGCTCTATTGATATCATTTAATTTAGTCTCTCATTGATGCTAGCTTTATTTATTCTTTTTCTCTTTCTTCATCGCCATTTTTTCCACTCCCAAAACATTAGATCTTGATTTTTTTATCAAATGCGGTCCTTCTTCTTCTTCTTTTTCTTTCTCCTCTTCTTCTTCTCCTTCTTCTTCAACGTCATTCTTTTTGTTCTGAGAACCTTTGAACTTCATTTTTGAGCGAATCGGGAACTACTTTATTTTCTTGTCGACATCTTCTGCTGCTTGTTTTGTTGTTGTTTAACAAATTTCATATAATAATAATAATAATAATAATACATATCTGTATTGTTTATTCTTTAATTCTTCTTCTTGTTTTTGTCTTTCATCGTCATTCTTTTCGCTTTAAAAGCATTTGACCTTTTACTTTGCAAATTTCATAGCTGACCTTCCAAATTCCGTTATCAATTTTCTTGTACTTTTCGAATTCCATAGCTGATCTTTCAAATTCCGTTATCAATTTTCTTTCACTTTTCAAATTTCATAGTTGATCTTCCAAACTCCGTTTTCAATTTTCTTTTACGTTTCAAATTTCAAAGCTGATCCTCCAAAATTCCTTCTCAATTTTTCTTTTAATTTTCAAATTTCATAGTTCATCTTCCAAATTCCGATTTAAATTTTCTTTTACGTTTCAAATTTCATAGCTGATCTTCCAAAATTCCTTATCAATTTTTCTTTTAATTTTAAAATTTCATAGTTGATCTTCCAAATTCCGATTTCAATTTTCTTTTACGTTTAAAATTTGGTAGCTTAGCTTCCAAATTGCGTTATCAATTTTCTTTTACCCTTTCAATTCCATAGCTGATCATCTAAATTCCGTATCAATTTTCTGTTACTTTTCAAATTTCATAGCTGATCTTTCAAAATTCCTTAGCACTTTTTCTTTTACTTTTCAAATTTCATAGTTGATCTTCCAAACTCCATTTTCAATTTTCTTTTACGTTTAAAATTTGGTACCTTAGCTTCCAAATTACGTTATCAATTTCCTTTTACTTTTTAAATTTTATAGATCTTCCAAATTCCGTTATTCATTTTCTTTTACTTTTCAAATTTCATAGTTAATCTTCCAAGTAGAAAAATAAAAGACAAAACTCCCAGATGAAGAGGTAGAAACAAGAAACAGAGTAGTATCGGACTCATCAAGATCAAGAAAATTATACATATTTACATGATAAAGGAGAACAATCGCTCCGTTTAATAAATATTATTATTATTACTATACTATTAAAATGAAAATTAGATGTTTTCAGAGTGAAAAAATTGATTTCTTTGTCGACCATTTCTCCTGTTTGTCTTGTTTTATCGGTTAGTTTTCAAATTTTGTAGTTGATCTTCCAAATTCAGTTATCAATTTACTATTATTTTTCAAATTTCATAGCTGATCTTCCAAAATCTGTTATCAATTTTCTTTTATGTTTCAAATTTCATAGCTGATTTTCCAAAGTCCCTTATCAATTTTCTTTTACTTTTCAAATTTCATAGTTGATCTTCCAAACTCCGATTTCAATTTTATTTTACGTTTAAAATTTCATAGCTGAGCTTGCAAATTGCGTTATCAATTTTCTTTTACCTATCCAATTCCATATCTGATCTTCTAAATTCCGTTATCAATTTCCTGTTACTTTTCAAAGTTCGTTGCTGATCTTTCAAATTCCGTTATCAATTTTCTTTCACTTTTCATATTTCATAGTTGGTCTTCCAAACTCAGTTTTCAATTTTCTTTTATGTTTCAAATTTCATAACTGATCCTCCAAATTGCGTTATCAATTTTCTTTTACTTTTTAGATTTCATAGATCTTCCAAATTCAGTTATTAATTTTCTTTTACTTTTCAAATTTCATAGTTAATCTTCCAAGTAGAAAAATAAAGACAAAACTCCCAGATGAAGAGGTAGAAACAAGAAACAGAGTAGTATCGGACTGTATCAAGAAAATAAAAATCAGATGTTTTCTGAGTGAAAAAATTGACTTCTTTGTCGACCATTTCTCCTGTTTGTTTTGTTTTATCGGTTAGTTTTCAAATTTTTTAGTTGATCTTCCAAATTCGGTTATCAATTTTCTTTTATCTTTCAAATTTCATAGCTGATCTTCTAAAATCTGTTATCAATTTTCTTTTACGGTTCAAATTTCATAGCTGATCTTCCAAAGTCCCTTATCAATTTTCTTTTACTTTTCAAATTTCATAGTTGATCTTCCAAACTCCGATTTCAATTTTCTTTTACGTTTCAAATTTCATAGCTGACCCTCCAAATTGCGTTATCAATTTCCTTTTACTTTTTAAATTTCATAGATCTTCCAAATTCCGTTATTAGTTTTCTTTTCATAGTTACTCTTCCAAGTAGAAAAATAAAAGGCAAAACTCCCAGATGAAGAGGTAGAAACAAGAAACAAAGTAGTATCGGACTCTATCAAGAAAATGAAAATCAGATGTTTTCAGAGTGAAAAAAATTGATTTCTTTGTCGACCATTCCTCCTGTTTGTCTTGTTTCATCGGTTACTTTTCAAATTTTGTAGCTGATATTTCAAATTCGGTTATCAATTTTCTTTTATTTTTCGAACTTCATAGCTGATTTTCCAAAACCTGTTATCAATTTTCTTTTACGGTTCAAATTTCATAGCTGATCTTCCAAAGTCCCTTATCAATTTTCTTTTACTTTTCAAATTGCTTAGTTGATCTTCCAAACTCCGATTTCAATTTTCTTTTACGTTTAAAATTTCATAGCTAAGCTTCCAAATTGCGTTATCAATTTCCTTTTACTTTTAAATTTCATAGACCTTCCAAAGTCCGTTATTAATTTTCTTTTACTTTTCAAATTTCATAGCTAATCTTCCAAGTAGAAAAATAAAAGACAAAACTCCCAGATGAAGAGGTAGAATCAAGAAACAGAGTAATACCAGACTCTATCAAGAAAATGAAAATTAGATATTTTCTGAGTGAAAAAATTGTCTTCTTTGTCGACCATTTCTCCTGTTTGTCTTGTTTTATCGCTTACTTTTCAAATTTTATAGCTAATCTTTCAAATTCCGTTATCAATTTTCTTAGACTTTTCCAATTCCATAGCTGATCTTCTAAATTCCATTATCAATTTTCTTAGACTTTTCCAATTCCATAGCTGATCTTCCCAATAGCGTTATCAATTTTCTTTTACTTTTCAATTTCGTAGCTGATCTTCCAAGTAGAAAAATAAAAGACAGAACTCGGAGATGAAGAGGTAGAAACAAGAAATAAAGTAGTAGTGGACTCTATCAAAATTGAAGATCAGATAGACCTTTTTAGAGTGAAAAAATGACTTCTTTGTCGACCCGTCCTTTTGACTGCCTTGTTTTATCGGTTACTTATCAAATTTTATAGCTGATCTTCGAAAATCCGTTATCAATTTTCTTCAGGTTTCAACACGTGATACTACTCTTGGTCTCAAACGTATTTACTCCTCTTTTTCTTCTTCATCGTCTTTTTTTTAACATCTTAACTTTCTTTTTTTGGTCGAATCCGGTACTACCCTCTTTCTTTTTGTTGACCTCTTCTTCTGCTTGTCTTCAAATTTTGTAGCTGATCTTCGTAATTCGATAATATCAAAGCCATATTTCTTCTTCATCTTCATCGTTATTCTTTCGCTCTGAAACATGATTAATGATTGATCCTTATTTTTGACCGAGTTCGGTAGTACTCTGGTCCTTTGTCAATTTTTTTCTGCTTGTTTTTTCTTCAAATTTTATTGCTGATCTACCTAATTCCGTTATCCAAGCCAAATTTCTTTTTCATCTTCATCATTATTCTTTACGCTCTGAAAATATTTGATCTTCATTTTTTGATCGAATCCATTATTACTGTTTCTTCGTCGACCTCTTCTTCTGCTTGTCTTGGTTTGTAACTTTTACTTTGCAAAATTTATAGTTGGTCTTCGAAATTTCGTTGTCAAAGCCATATTTATGTTTTTTCTTTTTCATCATCGTCCTTCTTTTTGCTATGAAAACATCTGAT